GGTCTTTCTACAGGGGTCTGTGCACTTCCATGTTAGCTGGTCGGAGGGTATGTTTTTTTGCGAGCGTGCCCATTGGTTTGAAGGCAAACCAGAAGCAAATCCATACTGTTTTTGGGCTGCCATTTGAAGAGTGCCCTTGTTAAATGGTTTTGAAGGGAAACCAAAAGAACAATCCACAATTTTTTAGGGGGCCCGCTTTTTTCAAGACACAGCCAAGTAGCAGCCAATTTGTGTGATCTGTTCCCAAAGGCAGCCCAACAGGGTTTCTTCTTTTGATTGTCCGGACCCCTCACTGTTGGACACCCATCGGAAGCCAGCCAATCTAAGCGACGAGTAGGAGAGAGGTGACGTGGCCATGGATTTTAAAACTCACAATCCCCAGCACAGGTTTCACGTGCTTTGGAACCTGAACTTAGCGCAAGTTTAACTGCGACCTCACATGATGTGGTTGCCACCTTCAACTAATTCGTCAGAAACAAAAAGATGCCCCGCTTTCCCCATGGCTGAGGGCCAAACATGGTGCTATGGTGGTTTGGTCGCGCGTTCCGTTTAGACCTTTCAGGGTTGCGCAAACAAGACACCCCCAAAGGCAAGAATGAAGCAATGATGTTAAAGTACACCCTTTCCTGAGGCATGTCCAACTTTTTTGCCCTGCCTCAAAAGGACGCTTGCCAGAGGTTTGCCTTTTCATCGTGGTGGCTTGCATCAGGGTGACGCCATCTGGCGCGAGCATGTTGGGTATCGTGTGGCCTTCTTTGGATGCCTGATTTGTCACAGGGGTTACCCACGGAGGAAAGCGTACACAGTGTGGCCGTACAACCCCCGCCCCCCTGTGGGATGGGGGGGTGGGCGGGGTCCATGGTTCCCACCCCCCGCCCCCCCTGCAGGAATCAGGGTCGGGGTCTATAGAAGGTAGCACAGTGTGACCGTACAAGCCCCCCCGCCCTCTCTGTAGGATCCCACCGTACAACCCCGCCCCTGTGTGGGATGCGTGGGGGGTCTATGGTTCCCACCCCCCCCCTCTCCCCCTTTGCGTGGGAATGGGTTGGGTAAAACGCAGGTAGGTAGCACAGTGGGACAGTACACGGGGTGCATGGTTCTCCCCCCCCCCCGCCCCTAGATGGACCCATACCATTCGGGGGGGGGGGGGGGCTGGGGACGACGGGCGACGGGAACATATATATATATATATATATTCCTTGCCAAACTGAGAGTTTTGGTCCTCCCGCCTTGTCTGCTTTTGCTTGGATGTTTAACCTTTTACTTGCTGTTTGAAGATGTGTGTGTGTGTGTTGCTCGTCAATTAATAAGTAGTAACATGTTCGGCATGTACCTGGGGTTAGTAGGGATGGTGATTGGTTTTGAGATGGATTTTTAGACAACCACTAAGGATTTCTATGTTAACCAAGAGCCATCAAGGCCATATATAACCCAGAACAATATAATAATATCGGCTTTTGGTGTACAGCATTGGCCCAAGCCATGACTCACTCAAAATCAAGCGATAAAAGCAGGGCTCTTTAAACCAAACCATGTTCGTCAAATTAAATAGTTATCACCTTTAGCCGTTGTTTGAACGAGCAGCTCGGGTGGCTCAGGAACCGGACCGTATCCTTTTAAGGGCTCGACAGCGGGTTCTTTGCAACGGGTTTCTACGTGTACCAGGCGGATTTCTGTCCCGTTCGCATCAGGCCGAAGCGGCAGCGAGCGAGAGGTGGCCTCTCCACGAGGCCCTTAAACCACTGCGCAGCTTCGTTTTCGGATCGACGCCCCCTTTGGCTGGTTGGAAAGGGAATCCTGCAAAGGAAGCAGGTTTTTGGAGTGCGAATTTTAGCTTGTGCCGAAGCTGAATCACTTGTGTAGCATCCTGGAACCCAGTTCTTGGGGCCCTTTAGACTGGCATATATTTAGCAACGAACCACTAATTAAAGTGAACAATTTGAGGTTTTTTTCCAGATTGCTTTTCGGACCCGTCGCTTGCCCTTTAGAGCGCCTTCTGGGGGAGGTGTAATTTTGAGGATGTCCCTTTGCAGACGGGGCACTTCGACAAATGAGGTTCTATTTCGCAAACATCTTGCATGTCAAAGACTCGTGTGCTGTCCAAAAGGTAGTCATTGGGGGTGCTGCTGGTGGAGTGAAGTGTTTTTTTCAGGGGCATATAAATATATGGATGTTTAATTTAGGCCTCCCGTTGAAGCGTATTTTTGCCCAATCCTGGCTCGCTCTGTGTCCTGGGAGTCTTCAATGCTTAAGTAAGCGTGGGTCGTTTGGATTCTTCATGGTTTTGCACTTCCACACACCCCTCCTCCTTAAACCTGGAACGGGGGGCTTCTGAGGGTGAAGGCCATGCTGGCAGAACTCGCGAGAAATCCCAGACGTCCAGGCTCGCCTTGGCCCGAGCCGGACGTCTTTGCCAACTTTGCCCAGATCTCAGGGTGTCGAGGTGAGTCGAAATCAGGTTCCTTTTGGTTTTTATCTTTGAAGCTCCGAAAAGGGAGGTGAGTCCCTAAAATGAGCAGTGTTTCATCTTTGAAGTGACCAAAAAGAGCGACCCTCGAAATACCTTGGCGCCCACACACGCAAGTCGGCTCAAAAGTGCCGAGAGAGCGAACAGCGCGGTTCCCATGCTTGCCATACGTATCTCCGCTAATGGGAGGCATGTGCCACTGGTTGTGCGACAGGAGGGTCAACGCGCCGGGCAGATCCCCGACCAAAGAAAACAGGTCACCCACACTCCAATTACCATATATACACAGTAGAAAAAGTATTTCATGGTCGATATATGTCGAATTATGTCGTTATCTCTCCTTGGAATCACCCGACTTATTCTGGGATGATCCACTCTGGGTGGCCATTCTGCGGTTGCTTCTGGGTCGCGATTTGTTTTGAAGTTGATGTGCCTGAAATACCGGAGCCTCCAAAATGAATTGGTCCCTTTGGTTTCCCAGTTGCCCCTATGCCAGGAATATGCGCCCCAAGCATATATAAATATATATGCCTTGTATGCCCCATATATAGAAACACGATAGACATATACTCACATCTTATATATATATATATATGTATACTCCTATACACGACTGCCTCCCATCTCAAAGAAATTGTATGGCTGGCCATCAGGGAAGTTAGGGAAGGCACGGGTGCGACAAGCGGCCTGGTGCCCCTCTTGCCACGGGATCCGAATGGACTCCAGTTTGCATGGGTTCTGAAGGGACGCCAAGAGACATACCCAAAGTCAGAAAGGCCCACGCTCACACCCCAGCTGGCGAATTGGCCGCTGGTGAATTTGGTTGAACATGCCTTGTTTCAGGTCCGGGACACCCAGATTCCCCAAACCAAAGCGAGCAGTGGTTGTACGTCACCATGTTTTTGTTTTTTTTTTTCTTATGCTTTACAAAGGTGAATGCAATATAGAAAGGGGTTGAACAGTGGGAGTCCGTATGTTCCCTTTCCAGTTTCATGGCCTCCAACATCTGCCTTTTGGACTGCGCTAGGGTGTTTGGACGTGGGAAGAAGTAGTGGTGTTTCATATCGAGCCCTTTGCTTTGGTTGGCTTTTCTGTTTCCAACTGGAGAGCTGTTCTGGCAACAAGCCCGCCCGCCGAGGGTGCGAGGTGGCCAGATGCTGCAGGCACAGGCGACGCTCCATGCAGCTGAGAGAGACATTTGAAGAAGAGCGAGAGCCGAAATGGTGGACTAGGTCCATTATCTTCCATTTGCTGAAATGAATATTTGTCATGTTCCCCTGTTGGTTTTAAAGGGAATCACTGCTGGAAACATGTTGTGTTTTTTTCCCCAGGATTCTTCAGCAAAGGGAGGTCTATGGCTTCTAGTCACTTGAACATGTTTGTGGTGGCGTTAAAGGGAGACCAAAAGGTAGCCCAAGCTGTGTACATGATCAGTGCATGGTATGCACCGCGTGCACGGCATGCATAGTACGACAATGGATCACGGCTCCAAAGCTGAATTCACTTGTTTGGTCGCTGGCACTTGGAGCAGACGTGGGACGTGGTTTCAGGTGTTTTCCATAGCTTATGGCGCTTGGCGTCATGGCTCCTTCACCACCTAGGACCCATTCAGGTGTGTCTCAAGAGAGCCCAGCATCAACCTGTTTCAATCAAAACTCCCAAATCAATCTACGGCCGCTTTGCGAGCAAGACAGCTCCAAGTGTTTTTTTTTTTGTTCCCTTTTCGCTGACAGATAAAGGCCATGCGCAGATGTTCAAGCGTGGAAGCTACGGTGAAGCTTGGGGAACCCAAGGATCCGCAGAAGTTTTCGGGACTTTGCTTCGGGAGTTCCTCGCATGGCTCGGAAGCCGGCGCCGCGGCTGGCGGCATGCGCCTGTCCTGGCAGCTGGCACTCCTGGCGCTCTTCGCGGCCGGCGGCGTTTTGGTCTGGCAGAGGCGATTCGTCCGAAGCGTCACTTGAAAGGGACGGGACGGGACAAGCTTTGGGGGCGTTGGGGGGTTTTGGGAGATGGCAAAGGAGCTTTGGGATGGCTGAAAAAGGAGCTGTTTGGGGTGTTGAGCAAATTTGGGATTGCTGCTAGAGTGGGTAGTTAAAGTCGTTTTGCTTTTACTTAAAGGTGGTTCCCTTGGTGACTGGTGGGGTGATATCCACTGAGCCCTGGAGGTCGCTGACCAACGACGTGTCGTCCAATGCGCTGAGTGCGCAGGCGGCCTCGACATCTTCTTACCCGCGGCCCGCGGGCTTGCTGTTCCTTTTTGGTGTTAGGGAAAGCGGAATACCAACCACTTTGAGAACCCAGGTCAGAACACAACAAATTAATCAGTAAGAAGCACGAAATACAATTGTGAAAGGAAGTTCGACATGTTTCTCTGTGGCACGTCAATTAATCATTTGTTAGATGATTTCCACTACCATCAAGCTCTGAGCGGGACCCGGTGCAAAGCTGGTGGCCGCCCCGTGTGTTGGGTGTGTTGGGGCGTGTTTTGCTGGACAAGTAGTTTGTTGGTGCCTGGTGGCTGTGGCTCAAAAAACCGGTATAAAACTGTTAAACTGGAACCCTGGTAAGTGGAAACATGGACCAAAACCTGCGTAACCCCTCCTGTTTAATTTTGAGCCACACCCTGGTTGCTTCGTTCTTTGCGAGGAAGCGGGGCCCTGCCTGGGGGACCAGCTGGAGAAGTTGGCGCAGCTCCACGCCGGCGGCGCGCTCTCGTCGGAGGAGTTCCGCGCAGCCAAGGCGAGGGAGCGATCTGGGGCGCTTGCGCCAGGGGGGCAGCTGGTTTTGTGTTTTCTCATTTCTGGTTTTGCGGGGTTTGGGTTAGCTATGGAAACCAGAATGCTCAGCTCACCATAGCTCTTGTTTTTTTGTTGCTCCATGCGGACTGAACTACGATGCCGGGGATAGAGTGGCAACCATAGGTGCCAGCTCCCCCCAGCCACCCGGGAAAAAGGAAAAAGCAAAAGGCCATTTGCGATCACGCAGGTCCGCTGTTGGTCCAGCTGGTTTTGCGGGAGTTAGGGCAAATTTGGGGCGAGCTATGGTGAGCTGATTTTTGCGGGGTTTTGAACGTCCGCGCTCTTGGGGCACGTTTAGGGTGAGTTTCCCTTTGCGGGGGCGACGTTTAAAGGGGAAATATGGGTTTGTCTGGTGTTTCTTTTTCAGGAGTCCCCAGAGTTTGCCAAGATAGAGAGAGGATACAGGCCAGGGGGGTTCCAGGGGTTGCTGTTGGGGTGTGCTCATGCTTTATTCCGCGCAGCAGGAAGGTGGTTTCTTTGTTTTTATGGAGGATGTATTTATGCTTCGCTTTTTGGGCAGTTTAATCATCATTAGTTGGGCCAACATTTTTTTTGGGTAGCGTGGCGTAGGGAGACCTATCATAACCTTGAAAGAAGGTGTCGAGGGGTCAACGCATCGTGTGCTTCCCTCCATCAGGGGGTTTCAGAGATGTTTTCCGTCAAAAAATATTCGAGCTCACCTGGGGGTAGCTCGAGTTCACCATGTGGGTCCTTTATTTGGATGTACTTCTGAAAGTCTTAATATTTGGTTCTGGAATTGTAACAAACACTTAGTGAGACGCAAGTTGAGACACGATGAAGGTCCCTCATTGCTTTCAGAGCCCGTACCTCAAGTTTTGGAGTTCCTGGGGACTGGGCATGGAACAATGGGATATCAGTCGACCGAGTACTCCAGACAAGAGACGACGTTGGAAGGCAAAGGGAGATAAAGATATTCTGAAAGAGCTGGAGGTGGAGCTTGTCAGGATGAATCCGGAGGACCATACTAATCAGAGGAGTCACCTAAAACAAGCAACTTCCGGAAAGAACACATGCCTGAGTGAAATGTGAAACTTCCGGTGATTTAAAGATCACATGTTCGATTGCCAAATGTAGACGATGGGAGGATGTCTCTTCAAGTTGGACATTGATGAACCGATGTCGGTGTGTGTTTTTTGTTTAGGATGGACACTTGTATATAGTTGTGTTGTATTGATCTATACAAGAAATTATTTTAAAACAAAAAGCAGGACACTTTGGTGGTTTCCTGTTGCCTTCCCGTCCGGGCGTCTCATGCTGGCTAGGCGAAGCTGCTCGGCGAGGGACACAGCCAGGCTGAGCACATTTCCGCCACCCGGCCTCCCACCACCTCGAGACCAGCTGCGGAGGACGCGACGCGGAGCCCGAGCCAGGCACGGCCAGCAGGTTGACTTGTTTTTGGCCCTTTCCTCAGCTTCCCTCTACTTTGGGGTTTGGATTGGTGTTTTGGTGGTTTTTTCGGAGGGGCTTCCCATGTACCCTCTACAAGAACCAGGGGTTCAAATCCAAATCCAAACCACCAATTAGGTTTGGGCCTTTCTGCCATGAGGCATCACCAGCACCACCGGCCGCCAGCCTCAGCTTGAACCAGGAAGCTGTGAGACAGCTGCCGCGCTTTCCCGACCACTTGCATGTGCATGCAGCGCGGCTTGTCTTGAGAGGTTGCATCATGGTGCGGCTTGGTTTGGAAGGCGTGGTGAGAAGTGGGTCGGTCCCTCTAAGTGGCAAGGAGTCATGGGTCGCCCTACTATTTTTCCGGTGTCTACGGATCCTGTGCAGCCACAAAAACCCTATGTCCCACTTCTTCCTTTGGGACCATTGCCGATTCTCACTTACGGTAAACCAGAAACCCTGGGATTCAAGACAGCAGAACAATGCGGGGGGTTAATAGAACCATCATTGTTTGCCAACGAAGTTTCATTCTCTAAATTGGGTCAACCGTTCCGTTTAACTGAACCGCTGAACCCTCGGGGCAAGGTTCGTTTGTTGTTTGGCAACTCCTGGGTTAGACTTCGGCTACATTTTACATTTAACAGTGACTCAAAAGGGAAGCAAACAATAGAATATTATACATTCTACTGGGCAAAAGTCTAATCATGAATCCTCCACGAAAAAAATCCGAATTCGCCCAGGAAGGGCCTCTACTTGCCCTCGAACTTCCAGGAAGTGCCGCTCCTACCAGACGAGATCTGGGAGGCGAGGCGAGGATTCGATTCAACCAACCCCCCCCTGCGCGCGCGAAGTTCATCACCTGAGGGGCGCCGAGCTTAAAAAGAAGGACACCCCACTGGTTGAAACAGTTCCTTGTGGTTTCCCAGGGGGGGAGAAAAGGGGTTGAGTTAAAGAGGTCGATGTGTAAGTTTGTTTGGTCCTTTGGCATCAGAAGGAAATCAAAAGAATTGGAGGGCCCGGGCATCCGGCATGTTTTTGTTGGTCAACTCCGACTCAAGGAGGCATTTACCATAGGATTAGTTTTCCAAATTTACCCAAACAAAACAGCTGGCATCCTCGAGCTTCGCCATCACCAGCTGCTGGTTGGTTGCAGGGGTTGCTCACCTAACCTCCCTCCCACTCAGGACTCAGCACCCACCAACCCACCCCACCCACCCACCCCACCCCTCACCGCCCGCCCACCCTCCCCTCCCACCAACCCTTGCATGTGTGCGCGTGCGTGCATTTTTGGAGATTCGGCACCGCGCATCTGGATTTGGAGATTCGGGGTATGTTGACACAAATGGCAAACGCACGCACACAAACGGATCCCAGTTACCACTAAAGCAGGCAAAGCAGCCGTGTTCCTTGTGGAATCGCTGGGCCGATGTTGACGCGCACGCGCACATATTTCGCAGCACCCATTGTTCAATCAACCGCCTTGCGGTGTTCCTTTCGGGGGGGAAAAGGAAGCTGCCCGTTTAAACAAGTCGCCGCTTTCAAGGTCAAGGAAAATCAAACTCCAGCAGCCATGACCTCCAAGTACCCAAGCTTCTTGGGCGCGCCAGCCCCTGACTAGATGAGGCATACGTGTATAAGTATGAAAAACCTGGCAGAGTTTCGAACGTCTTAAAATGGGACTTCCCAAAAAGTGCTAGTTTGTTATCGGTTTCCCTTTCAATCCACCCAAACAAGGGTACCCTCAAAAAGACGCCCGAAGATCTGTTTTGCGAGGCGAGCATGGCGGACAGCATCAAGGACTTCCCGTCGGTCCAGGCGTTGCTGCTTCGTCTCCTGAGGAACGAGACCGTGAGGCGGACTCACTCGGTTGCGGGGACCGTTTTGGGGCGGTTTAAAAGGAGAACCAGAAAGGGACAGCACCCCCTTCTGACGCACGGAGACTTGAGTTGTTTTTCCCCTCAAATCCAACCTCTCATGATTTTCTAGAAACAACGGACTGTTTCGTGCTTCTTGTTTGCCGGGGCAAGCCATATTCCTGGACGTCCTTTTCCCCCCCCCGCACGTGGTGTTCGTTTAAACCAACCCGACAAGGGAAAGTCCACTTAGTAAGTAGTTTCTGACCATGGTTTATAATTGGCCTACGCCCCACATCCGTGACAATTAGCCCACCGAAGTGGTTATCGCAGGATCCAAGTCTACGGTGGCAGCATGACCTTCGGCGAGGGCTGCTGCACCGACTGCAGCTTTGGTGCATTTCGCTTGGATGTTAGGACTTTGACTTTTTGCCAACTAATGAGTTTTCCAATAAACCACTAAAAGTTAAACTTTTGGCCGGGGAGAAGAAAGCAACCGAGGCAAAATGCGGCTCCGTGAGTGCAGTTGGCCAGGCCAACTGAAGGCCCGACTCGAGCAGGTGGGTGGCCAGGCCGGAACGAGCGAAGCGAGCCACGGGGGGCTGGTCAAAAGCAACCCCCTAGCCTTCAACACCAACCCAGTTGCCCAGTGGCGTCCTTTTTTCCTTTTTCTGGGAAGGGTTTCCCTTTAAACTCAACCACACAAAAAAAAAGAGGTGTGTTTTTTCCCATGGACACTGGGCATCTGAGCCAACTAAACGAATATAGAATGGCAAGAGTCCGATCTAGATGATGAGGCTCACGTAAACAGCCTCCTTTAGCAGAATGGCGTGGGACCAAAGCTAGATGAAGCCCCTGAACGGTAAACAATGGTTGGAAGCCTTACTCGAGCCACAATTTTCCGCCCAGGGCAGAGCGTGATTCTTGCATGGTGTTCGGGTAGACAACTTAAGGACCGCGGTTTTATGGTGACTCTGGGAACCAATCGGAAGCACAAAAAGCGTCTACCCCAAAGAGGGAGATTCCTCTCAATATTTATGACTTGCCAATAGTTTCTAAGCGAATCGATCCTTTAGCCTTTGGGTGTTCCTTTTTGAACCATGTTTAAAGGTCTGGAAAGGTAGGCCAGTGAGATAAAATTTGTGCTCCCTTCCTCGCCCCTTGTAGTTTCCCAGCTCGGATTCCAGGAGACCCCGATTGTTGTTACTCGAAGATGCACGGCACCCACCATATCTTCGCAAAGGCTATCTTGTTGTTAGAATCACATTGATGACTTGAAGTTGGCTCTGACATTGTGTTTTGAAGTTGTCTTGTTTTGGTTGTGGTTGCTTGCAAGCATCCACTCACATACTCCGGCCTGTTTGGCTCAAGGATGCCCTGATGCCAGCTCGCGTGCATTCATTTGGGTCTGGAACTCCATCTCGCACGTCTGAATCGGGGTTCAGCTACAACATGTTTGTTGTTGTGGCGCAGTCCTTTTCCGTGAGAAAAGTTTTTCAGACCGAAAAAGCATGGAAGGCATGGAAGGTGCGGATGACTTGCCAATGCCGGCAATTGTCCCCCAATCCCTTCTCCCACAGTTTTGCTCACGGGAACCCCAAACTGCTTTGCTCGTAGACATGTGGAAACAGGGTTGTGGGATCTCTCGGGGTTTATCCCCACTTCTGTCATACTTTTGGCACTCTCCCCCTTTATATAGGAGGTTAGTCTTTGGCGTTAGGCCCTTTTGCTTTCTCACAGATTCGTGGATTCCATTTCAACCACGGCCCTGTGTGAACATTCATTAATGAATTTCAATGGGGACCCCCCTCAAAAAATGGTTGGTGGACACAAACACCCACCTATATGATGTCCACCAAAGGGTGCTCATCCTAAAAACTCACACCCAGAAAGTGAAAAAAACAATTCTGAATCGATGAAAGCACCACGCCCCTCAGCCGGACTTTCACCCGCAAAAACAAAAAATGATAATTATTATAAATATTTATAATAAAAAAAAGGCACCTGGGCGCGAGCTGGTTTTTGCAGGTGCTGCTGGAGCATCGAGCCAGGGGCGGCTGTGACCTTGAGCGCCGGTTCAGCAGGGCAAAATTCGCCCCCTCGAAATACCTACGGCGACAACTTTTAAATATGTGGGGGCCGGGCCAGGGCTTCAGGGCTGGGAGGTAGTGTAAGACGTCTGTTTAAATCGGATATTTAAAGTGGTTGGCCGGGTGTTTTGTGGCGACACGGTGCTGTTTCTTCCATTTGCTGAACCCCTTAGGGGTCCTAAGGGCTGGTATGGGGTTTCAGGAGTTATGATCCCCATGGCAGCCTGCAGGGCTGTTTTCCAGTCAGGGTCTCCAGTCGGCCTCGTTCCGAGGTGTTCCTTACCTGAAGTGGTGATGACCTTGAGTAACTCCAACCAGGCCATCGACTCATCGCCAGCAAGTTCTCAACCTTTTGCCGCGATGGGTTTTCTTGCTGCGATAGGTAGGGAATGTGAAATGGAATGACCCCCAACCATGCCTTGCGGTTTCCTCTAGGGAAATCCCTAGGTTCATTCCATTCCCTACTGAGCACCAAAGTTGTCCACTCGTTCTTTTGCAAGAATCTTGGACATTTTACGTTGAATGCTGAACTACGTGTTTGCCCTTTTGCCTTGTTGATGTTTCTTGTTTTCCTGGTGGTTCTTGAGGAATGAGGAGATCACCTCGAACTGAACAATCTAAACTAGCGGTTTCCCAGATCATCCAACCCTTGCTAATGTTGGATCGCGTACGGCCCAGGACTTGCTTCTACTGGACTTCGGCCAAAATGGCATGGGCAGGCTGACCACCCTGGAGGAGAAAAGCAAAGCTGTGTGCCAGGGAGGTGTTCTGGCTTCGGATATTCTTTCTTTGTTCCTGCTAACATTGACCCAGGATCTAAGTAAAACCCGTCCCAGGGGGGTGTTCCCTCCAAAAGTGGTCTGAATCCAACCACTAAAAGGGAACACCCCCCAATAAAAGTCAACCAGGGGTTTATTAATCTGGTCGGAACATCATCTTGAAGTGTTCGGGTTTCATATGTTCACCTGTTGTCATTTTGTTTTTGCACAAGCTCAGGGCTTTTGCCATAAAGGGGTCTGTGGCGCCCCAAGTGCTCATGCGAGAAAAACACGGAGACCCCCCTTTGGCACTATGTGCCAATCAAAAGGCGGCATGCAGCCCAAATCGGCTGATGCCTCCCGTATGGCCCTTTGGCCGAAGGTGCACTGACGGCACTTCCCCCATTCTCAGTACAGACTCCAGCAGCTTTCCGCCTTCTCGAAGACGGTGTAGCCCGTCCACGTGGCAGCTGTCAATAGCCGCCACCCACGAAGATCGGCCCGCTGGTCCTCGCCGTGATGTGCTCCAGGCCCACCTCCTTGGGCACCCTCCTCTTGCAAACTCCGAGACCCCCTCTGCCTGTGCGCCTTGATGTGGAACTTCTCCCTGAAATCCGGCGTGCCCGTCTGGAGCAATTCGCCATTCAGCGCAACCCGTTTCCAGCGTTCCCTGAGCCGAGCCGCATGCTTGAGCCTCGAGCTTAGGGCCGAGGCCTAGGCCTCCCGAGCCAAGCTTCAGCTGCTCGCGGCTCGCTGGAGAGCGTCTTTTAAGCTGTGGCGCGCCCACCTCTTCAACTCAGATAGCTCCCTCGGCGTGAGCCCTTGATGACCTCCTCCCCCCTATCACCCCTCCTCCTCCCTCCTCCCTCCTCTCCCTCATCCTCTCCTCCCGCCAGGGCTTGCCACGTCTCCGAAGCACCTCCATGGCGCTAGAGTGGTGGGCTCATCACTTGCAAAGCCTCAGGCGTTTTTGCTTCTTGAACTTAAAGAGGTCTCCGGCGCGCCAAGCACTCAGGCGATTTACACGGAGTGTTGCTTGCTTGATTTGTTTGCTTTGCTTGCTTGCTTTGCTTGTTTGCTTGCTTGTTTGCTTGCTTGCGCGCTGCTGTTTGTTTGTTTGATTGTTTGTCTGTCTGCCTGCTTGCCTGCCGGTCAGTCGGTCTGTCTGTCTGTTTATTTTTGTTGTTTTTGTTTTTTTGTTATTATTATTGTTTGTTTGTGCATGTTACTTGTATATTCCTTCGTTTGTGTTTTGTGGTTGTTTAATTGTTTGCTGGCTTGTTTGTGTTGTTTCTTGTGTTTGCGTGTTTGCATGTTTGCGTGTTTGCGTATTTGTGTGTCTGTGTGTGTGTGTGCGCTTGCTTGTTGTTTTTTGTTTGTATGTGCTGGGTGTTTGTTGGCTGGCTGGCTGGTTGTTGTTGCTTTCTTTGTGCTCAGTTATGTGCGTGGCTGCATTTTGAGACGCGTTTCGGGCCATTTCATCAAAATGTATGTTGTCAAAAAAGAGCCCCATCAAATTGCATTCAGCATTCTGGGACGGTTTTCATTACTCCCGATGCCTACTGAGACCCAGGCGAAAACAGGATAATTCCGTTTTGTATGTTCCACGAATCCCCTGAGTAGTGGCCTGATAGTGCAAACCATCTGGGAAACGCGGCCAGCACCACCACCTGTGCACTCCATTAGGAGATTGTCCGGGTGTGTCACCTCTTCCTGCCGAAGACAGTGGTCTTCATAATTTGGAACCGAGACATGGGCGGCAAAAGTCGCTGGGCTGCGTGGTTGGATCTTTCCACTTCAACGTCTTCAACTTTGTGGTGAATGGTTGCATTCCGCACCAAACAGCACCAAGCCCAACTCAGATGTGCGGTAAATGGTTGCATTCCGCACCAAACAGCACCAAGCCCAACTCAGATGTGCGGTAAATGGTTGCATTCCGCACCAAACAGCACCAAGCCAACTCAGATGTGCGGTAAATGGTTGCATTCCGCACCAAACAGCACAAAGCCCAACTCGGATGTGCGGTAAATGGTTGCATTCCGCACCAAACAGCACCAAGCCCAGTGCGGTAAATGATTGCATTCCGCACCAAACAGCACAAAGCCCAACTCGCATGTGCGGTACATGGTTGCATTCCGCACCAAGCAGCACCAAGCCCAGTGCGGTAAATGATTGCATTCCGCACCAAACAGCACAAAGCCCAACTCGGATGTGCGGTAAATGGTTGCATTCCGCACCAAACAGCACCAAGCCCAGTGCGGTAAATGATTGCATTCCGCACCAAACAGCACAAAGCCCAACTCGGATGTGCGGTAAATGGTTGTATTCCGCACCAAACAGCACCAAGCCAACTCAGATGTGCGGTAAATGGTTGCATTCCGCACCAAACAGCACAAAGCCCAACTCGGATGTGCGGTAAATGGTTGTATTCTGCACCAAACAGCACCAAGCCCAGTGCGGTAAACGATTGCATTCCGCACCAAACAGCACAAAGCCCAACTCGCATGTGCGGTACATGGTTGCATTCCGCACCAAGCAGCACCAAGCCCAGTGCGGTAAATGATTGCATTCCGCACCAAACAGCACAAAGCCCAACTCGGATGTGCGGTAAATGGTTGCATTCCGCACCAAACAGCACCAAGCCCAGTGCGGTAAATGATTGCATTCCGCACCAAACAGCACAAAGCCCAACTCGGATGTGCGGTAAATGGTTGTATTCCGCACCAAACAGCACCAAGCCAACTCAGATGTGCGGTAAATGGTTGCATTCCGCACCAAACAGCACAAAGCCCAACTCGGATGTGCGGTAAATGGTTGTATTCCGCACCAAACAGCACCAAGCCAACTCAGATGTGCGGTAAACGATTGCATTCCGCACCAAACAGCACAAAGCCCAACTCGGATGTGCGGTAAATGGTTGTATTCTGCACCAAACAGCACCAAGCCCAACTCAGACTGGTCTGTAATTACCAACTAGAAACAAGCGAAGCTCGAAGATTGAGCCCAGGCCGGTCCTATCGGGACAAGACCTTGCACACGAACTATCGGGCGGTGGCGAAGCACTATTCCTTGCCCTTCTTCAGCTTCTTGGAGCGAACTTTCCTCCAGGTTCCGAAGGACAAAGGCTGACCAAATATGAAGAGTCAGAGAATAGTACCCAGATTCTAGGGCTCCCTACGTTTCCCCTTTGGGTGGATTTGAACACCGTTTGGGTGTTATTCAAAATGAGCTTCCTTCAAGTAGGGTGATGCTCAAGACTATGGGGAGCCCTACACTATGGGGAGCCGGGTTTCTTTTTTCACCTTCCACGTTTCTGGTATTGCTTTTCCTCTGGAGGGAGAAAGCGCTGTCCGGGTTAGGTCAGCACAGTGTCAACCAGGTAACCGCCGCAAGAAAGGGCAAGTCCTCGTTTCCCCACGCCTTCACATCGCAGCCCGGCTTTTTGTTTGCTTCTTTGCCGGGCCAAACAAGTTTGAGCTTTTGGGTTGAGCATTGTCTTCATACAGCCCTTCCCTACATATGCGAGGATGCGCCAAATGACCTTTGTTGCTCCTCAAGTACATCTGTTCATTGGGCCCATGAAAGCGACAATGTCAGAATGTCCATCTCTAAATGGTGGTTAAATTGGGTTCCCCGATCCAAAATAATATATGATATTGAGAACTCTTCAAGCATGCAACCACCGTACAATCAGGCTGCCCTCCCTTCAGAGTTTGGGTTGGAGGTCTGGTGCTTTGAGCTCCTGGAAGATTGCAAATGGTAAGCCACCCCCCCTCCCCCCTCTAGTGGCAAGCTGAACCAACCGAACCCAGGCTACGAGCACGCCATGGAGCGCGGTGCGGAGCTTCAGGCGGATCAGACTCTGATGTGGGCCAGCAGAGCCACCAGGCGCCTGTGTCTCCTCAGCATAGATGAGCCCATGAAAAGGGCATGCGTCACGGCCCAGGTTTGCAACACCGCCCCCACACCTAACTTAATACTTCTGTGTATGGCCCTTCCTAGAGCTGTTTTTCGCTGCCCGGAAGCCGACGAGACAGGCGTTGCTTGCCAACAGGAAAGACTCCAGCCCAGGGTGATTGCGGAGAAGTCTGAAAGGGCATCAAAGCGACATCGGAACCACATCCGGGAAGTTTGCTGAATTCACCTCACGGCTGATAGCCTCTGGTGCGGATCAAGGACTTCAAAAAACAGCGTGCAATTGGGGCTTTGAGCAGGTGAAGCAGAAGATTTCTAGAAGATCCCCGGCCCTCTTTCGTTTCACTTGACTCGCCTCCAGAAGGGGCTTGGAGCTTGTTGCGCCCATCAAGATGCTGAATTGTCCTTTGCTGGTTGTTTGAAATGGCCTACCTTAAAAGGGCACACCATCATGTCCCCAACAAAGGCTCAAGATTGCTCTCGGAGGGGTTGAATCGTCTGCAGGCACCCGCCGTGGCCGGCGCACGCCTTCTTCGCAGACTCTCCGGTGAAAGTTAGCAGGGGCAGTCCCAGAGAGAAATAAGCGCAGCCGCCTTTTCATTTCCTTGTATGGATTTGGGTTGGCCATTTGAATACCAAGATTAGATTGCGACTCTTGTATTAGCATATGTGGACACGCGAATCTGGGTGGTCCTTTTGGTTTCCCTTCAAGTAGGGCACGTTCAAAATACACACAATGACACATACACACACACACACACACATATACACAGACGCACGCAACGCACACAGCCACAAGGACACACACACACACAAGCACGGCCCCAATGGGCGTGGTTCCCGTGTTGGGGAACTCTTTGGGGTCGTTTCAAGAGGCTCCCAAACGAAAACATCACCTCCAGCAGACACTGGAAAAAATGCCTGTGCGTGGCCCACATGTGGGCCAACGTTGGAGGAAAGGCTGGGTGGACGCATAGTACCATCTCTCACTTCCGTGAATTCGGATCCATTCCGGTTCATTCCCAGAACCATCGGCTTGTTCTGTTAAAGCCAGATCATGTTAGTTGGTGAAGATGACACGTGTGGGAAAGTCGTTTATTTGTGAAGCATGTATAGTTTATACAAGTAGGGCCGGCGAAGCTGGGGGGAAGTGTCACAGACATATTATAATTATTATAGTTATATTTCTCCTTTTCTCTTTTGCTTGCTTCTTTCAACTATCTTCTTATCTCGCTTCTTTATTTTCCGATTTTATTTCTCTATCTTCTGTATATTGTTCTCTTCCCCTTCTTTCTTTCTTTTTCTACTATTTTTATATTTCTCTTTCCTTTCCCTGTCTATTTCTTCTTGATTTTTCACATCCTCTTCTTCTTCTTCTTCTTCTTTTCTTGTTCTTCTTCTTTCTCCGCTTTTCATCTTTCTCTTTCTCTTTCTCTTTGTCTCAAAGCAAATTCCCGTGCTAAGCACGGCCGGTCACAGTTTCCGCCCAGCAGTTCCTAAACATGCCTCGGCAGTTCCCGCCCAGCACTCGCCCTTTTGCTGTCGACTGCGTGACTCTGGCGGTTCCGCGCGTGCCCGCGTGGTCTGACACTCGCGTGCCGTTCAGCACGAAGCCTGCAACGGAAGCGCGTGTTTAGTGAGGGGACTGCCTTCAATCAAGAGGGACAGCTCGTGGCCAGCAAAGCGCTGCGCCCGCTTCAAGTTCTGAAGCTCGTTCGAGCCAGAAACAGAAGGAAGCATCGTGTCGGCGCCAAGCCGTGGTCTCCAAAAAACAGCTAGAGACCCTTTGTGGTCCCCACAAGTCCAACAAGATTGTGTCTCTTCCCTTTTTCTGTAAGTCTCTGTTTCGTTATCTGTTTCGGTGTCTTGTTCTTTATCTTGCTCTTCCACTTTCTCTGTGTTTTTGTTTTTTTCTCTCTCTCTCTCTCTCTCTATCTCTCTTTATATGTTTATCCACCTATCCATCCTATCTATCTTATCTATCCTATCTATCCTATCTATCCTATCTATCCCATCTGTCCTATCTATCCTATCTATCTATCTACCTAGCTACCTACCTACCTTCCTACCTATCTATCTCAATGTATCTACCATCTAATCTATCTATCTATCTAGCTACCTAGCTGCCTAGCTGCCTAGCTACCTAGCTACCTAGCTACCTAGCTACCTAGCTACCTAGCTACCTGGCTACCTAGCTACCTAGCTACCTAGCTACCTAGCTACCTAGCTACCTAGCTACCTAGCTACCTAGCTACCTACCTACCTACCTACCTACCTACCTACCTACCTACCTACCTAATCTGTCTATCTATCTACCTATCTATCTATCCATCTATCTATCTATCTGTTTGTGCTGTGTGTCTATGCACCTGAAACAAACGACCTTGCCAAATCGCCTGACGCTGCGAAAGTGTTGCGCCTGCCACGGGAATCTGCCGACCATGCGCCTGCCACGCAAACTGACGTTGCGTCCGTGTATTGCCTGCTTCGAGGCCGCTCCGAGCGCACGCCGACAAGCTAAATCATGTCATTCCCGTGCAGCACGCCCACGATTTCTTGCTTTATATATATTGTTCTGCTCTGTCTTCTGTCACAGCTATATAGCTTTCAGTTACTTTCCGCACCGCAAAAGTTCCTTCTAAGCTTCGTTTGATATGATGCCTCGGTTCAGTTGTTTGGACGAACCACATATTCTTGAACGCGGAAGATGCCCCTTAACTGGACTCCCGGAGAAGCTGAGGACATGTTGGTTTTCTTCTGCAACCAGCAGCTGGCTCGCTTGGAGCGGAAATCCGCAGACCAGCTGCAAGCCTTGCAGTCGAAGGAGTGGCAGCCGGAGCTGCTGAAGCCTAAAGACCTGCAGCTGGACAGAGACGCTTGGGCTTTTGGCTGTTTGCAAAACTGGCTGTTTTCCAGGGCCTTTTTGAGGGGTCGGGGTTCTCCATTGGACCCGGAGTGTCCATTGGACGGGTCACCCGTAAGGTCGTTGTGAACCTCAATAAGAAGGGTTTTTAACTGAGACTCGTCGGGCCCTGCCCCTTCCCTCGAACTGAATGAACACCCGCCCCTGCGAACTTGGTGCTTCCCTAGGTGGATAAATATCCCATAGGCGTACTTGGGAGAAGACGAAACGTGCAAACCGAGCCATTGGGGAGTGATGGAAGTTGGGACTTCGGCGCGAAATTCACTTTTCAGCACTCAAGCCCCGCAGGTTGATCAAAGGAGGTTGTTTGAGCAATAGGTGTTAAAATTCCATGGCGCAAACAAGGTGAATAGCTGAATCCCTGACTTGTTTGTGTGATTCTTAACTACGTGTTCAGAAAGCAGCAATTCTAGGGAGGGAGATTCCTACATCGAGAATCCTTATAATTTCAGAAGTGGTTTAAACCATTGGTGAATCGCTCAACCCTGAGTACCCTGAGTAAGGAGTTTGAGGAGTGGTGTAACCCATGGCAAGTGTAAGGAGTGGATCAAGCCGATGCAGAAGGTGGACTTGGCCAACGTGGACGTGTGCCTCTTCCCTTTGTCCGCCCATGTTGCGCGGAGCCCGCAGCCGGACTCGCCGCTGCAGAGCGCGGATGGCACCTGGCGCCTCTTCGAGGATCGCCATGACAAACCCGGGTGGATCACCACCGAGGACGGAGCTCCACGTTTTGGATGGCGGAAAGTCTCATCCGGGTGGTTCAAACCACCAAAACAACGGGACCTTCATATAACGGCCATTGTTTGCCTAAGGATTGACATTATCCAAATTGGGTCAAACAGTGTTGTTTTAAAATTGGGTTGAACCCTAGGGTAGATGTTTTGCCTGAAGCTTTGTTGGAAATGACGACACTTCCAAACCCAACAAGTGAAACTGGAGGTAAATGCGTAGTAGGGCGAGAGGGGGCCCTAGTATCCGATTACCACAATAGCAGGTAAGCCTTCGCCATTTGTCTTTTGGTGTTGCAACAGCGGATCAAAGTAATCTCAACTAGGTTGTGGGGCACTATTAAATCAAATGCTTCATGATCATGGAGTTGTGTTTCTGATTAGTTAGCCGTGCTATTCAGCATTTCTGGTTTAGGATTGATTCATACTTGGATTTCAATGCATTTTCAGATTGGTTTGGCTCATGCCATGTACTTGTCGAAAAGGACGAGCTCCATGAGAGGCTGCCTCGAACAAAGACCTGGTTGGTTGTTGTTTGACCGTGAAAAAAGCAACGTGGGGCGGGACTGGAACTCGGTTTAGCTTGTTGAGAAGGCTACAAGGTTTGCGGGCAACCCTACGGAATCACCACAAGGTTCTGCAGATGTTCCCTGAACACATGACATGCAACAAAGGACACTCACCTCACTTAAATGGCTCAAACAGGTGATATTTGATGCCCGCCCCAACCCAACCAAACCCCGAGGAGGGCGGGGCTTTGTCCTTCAACGTGAGCTTTAGCGCTTCGCCGCGGCTAGTGGTCCAGTACCTCCGGTCCTATGACAACATCGGGGCGGCCGAGCTCCAGTTCCATAGCGCCTCTCGGATGGCCGGAAGGCAGGGTGGAAGTACCTACCCCTTTGTTAGCGGTTCCTTAAGGCTTCCCTGGTTTCCAACCCACTTTTTTTTTTTTTGGGGGGGGGGGCGTATATACCCCTTTTGGGGAGAGAGGTATGAACATCAGCAGACTTTTGGAGGCACTTTGCCAAAGGGGTATGTAAAAGGACTTTTTTGGGGGCGTATATACCCCTTTTGGGGAGAGAGGTATGAACATCAGCAGACTTTTGGAGGCACTTTGCCAAAGGGGTATGTAAAAGGACTTTTTTGGGGGCATATATACCCCTTTTGGGGAGAGAGGTATGAACATGAGCAGGCTTTTGGAGGCACCCTGCCAAAGGGGTATGTAAACGGGGTATGTGCAAGCACTGGAGCCTTGGGGTCTCCCACTTCTGAGAAATGTTTTGCAGGGGATCGACGACTCAAGGCCTGGCTGTGGATTTGGAAGGGCCTCCGGAACAAGGCGAGGGGATCCGTTCCGACTCCGTGGCTGGCAATTCACTTCTTGCAACTTCAGGTGTTTTTGTTTTGAAGGGTCCGATCCTCAGACGGGCTTGGTCAAAGTCCTTCCTTATTCCAAATGGCAGTGCCTTGCCGTGACGTCGAAGGATTGCGGATCCCCCTGTCCTGCGGGGCTCTTCCCTTCATGCTTTGTTGGATGGGGATTCATCTAGATCTAGATCCTCGCAGGGGGCCCCTTTATTGTTTGAAAGTTTTTCTTGGCAAGTTGTTCTTTTAGCCAGACCTCCAGTGTGTTTCTTGCGAATGTTTTGAAGGGGTTCCCTAGATCAGCCCACCCTCCATCCCGTGGGGGTGTAGGGTCCTGTCAGGAGTGTTCGGGAGCGGGTGTTGGCTCAGAGGCTCATCATTGGATGCGTTTGGCCATCAAGTAGGTATCCGTAGGTATCCAGCCATTCTCCTCTGGAGGGTGGTTCTATTCGTTACCTTGCAAGCAAATGGATGGCCAAAACACGTTTCAAGCTTGGAGCACATGTCACAATGTCTAGAGCAAACCCTTGGGATTGAGTGAACCGGATCACTTGACCCCCAGCCCTGAGACTACCTGACACACGCCAGCTACCCAGGGCCGGACGCTTGGCATGTCCCCCGAATTCCGGCGAACCCTTTAACCAACTTAGGAAAATGCCGATGCTTCGGTTTTTTAACGCACGATTACCCTTCCTCCTTACATGGCATGGCACCTGACAGGGGGTCCCTCCAAGAGGAAACTTGTTTTTTAGGCACCCTTTGACAGGTGGCATGTTCGGGGGAGCAAGAGTAGCTCTATATCTTGGATCAGGCAGACTCCATTGACCTTCATGGTTTGCCTTTTCCACTGTTTGATAAATAAGCAGCCCCCTGGTAGTGTAGAAACCCTGTTCAAGGGAGGCTGTTCATTTCCTTGACTGCTATTGGGTTGGATCTTTAGACTTTAACTTTTTGGGAAATACTGGTGCTTTCCGCTAAACCCCCAAAAAGTTAATAACTTTTTGCAGGGGGGTCAACAGCAACCAAGTTTCAGTGGATCAGGCAGACTCCATCCCCTGCCAGGGTGTCCGGGACCGCTTCGAGGTGCAGGCCCGATGGTCGGACAAGATCTCGGTGACCCAGAACGCCCTCTTTGCCGCGGAGAAGTTGGCCAACGCGGGCTGGACGGGCGGCGAGAATCGGCCGCAAGGTCGCTCCGTTGTCTACTTCTCAGTTCAGTGGCGCCCTTTTTCCCCCCTTTTTTTGCGGGGCTGCCCCATTAAAAAAGTGTCGTCCCCAAACGGGTTCCCTTTTTTCCATAGTCACTGAACAACTGAGACTTCCACTTGCCCAGTGGGTTGCTTCCTTTTTTCTTTTCTTTTGGGGAAGGGTTGTATTTGTAAACTCAACCAAACCAAGAAGGATGCCCTTTATCCCCATGGCCACTGGGCATCTGAGTACTTGGGTGTTCGACTCGCCAAGTTAAGCGGTTAGTACCCATGGTTTTAACCGCCTCACCGGCCCAACTCACTCATCACTGGAGCCCATACATTTTGAGGGCCGGAGCCCTGTTCCGCAACAGGGTTGCAATGAAAGCTGAAGGAACTTGGCGCTTGGGATTGCTTTTTGTTTGCTTCGCGATGCTCGCGAAGCTTTTCTCGGCCAGTCGCCCAGTGGATTCCACGCCTTGATTCCTTCTTCCATTGTGACAAGGATTATTACGTTGGTTTACGTGTTAATCTTTTTAAGCATTCCATGGCCGCCAGTATGGGTGGGAGAGTGCTTAGCAAGCTGAATAGACTTGTTTGTTTGTGTGGTGACCGGAATCCGCGAGCTCCTTCTTGAGAACCCGCTTACCTATGTGCCAACATAGGGGACTTCACAAAAAGGTGGTCGCCCTTTGGATTCCCTTTAAACTAAGCTCAAAGCGGGTACCCTGAAAAAAGGAAGCTCGATTATGTTCCAGAATCAAGCACATGTTTGCTGGATGTTTCGTTGGGTAGAAGCTGGGAGTATATTTCACGATTGTTAAGGCTAAGTTCAATCATCCTCATAGTCACCGCCAGCGCCCATTGACCTTCCCATCCCTTTACTAGAACCGGTTTGGATGGGTGGAGTGGGCCAGTCAGCTGAACTCAGGAAAGAGAGGCGACGATCTCCTTCCGGCTGACCAAGGGGCCGAAGTTCAAGCTCATCTCTGTGATCTCCTGTTGAGCAGAACGGGTCGAAAACCGTGTCGGCCGGGGTTGGGCAACATGTGTTCAATCAACACCTGGGTAGATGAAGGTTAGTCAGGGACAATCCCATGGTTCTGGGTCGGGTTTTGATTGTGGCTCACATGAGTTCAATCAACTAGGCCCGAGTTGCCACTTAGCGGAATTAAAGGAGGTTGTCAAAGCAGCATTTAAACCACGGGTTGGCCCGACCTTCACCCAACTGGTCAGCTTTTGGGGAAGACGAAGCTCAAAGCAAGAGCAAGTTGAGCTTCGGGGGGCTTCGGCCCAAACCGTCCGTCACTCGTGCTCACAATTCAAAGGGCAATTGTGGCGAGTGAAGATCTGGCGCCGGTCCAAAAGTTCTCGCAGCTTCCGCTGGATCCAACTGGCGCCTGGTGTCTAGTAACTCAGGTTTGAGTTTGAGGTTGACAAACTATGAACCTGGGTTTTGTTGTGGCCACAAGCCAGTTTTGAGTTTTGAGGTTGACAAATCTGAATTTAGTTCTGTTGCGGCCCGGGGTTGGTCCACGTGCCCTGAGCCTCCAATGTTTGCTAAGGGCCAGGGGTTCAAAAGTTGAAAGGGGCTGAGAATTGGCGTGCTCACTCGAATCGACCGGATCTCCTCACACGGCTCGGTATGTCCTGGCTCAAAACTTCTTGGTGGACCTGAATCCATCGAAGTTGATGTTCACTCCAGAGGGTCCCCAATTAAAAATTAAAATCCCATGTGGATGCGTTGGTGCCTTTTGAGGTTCTTTGTGTGCCGGGCCTTTTTGAGAGGATATGTGCGTGCCCATGTCCGGTGAGTTGGACCTTGCGGGAAACCCTATGCCTCCAGAGCGAGTTCGGAAGCATGGGGTGTGAGGGGGTTTACCTTTTTTCCCAAGGATCCGATCCCCCTCTGAAGTGGCAGATCCAGAGAGAACCAGGCAGTCTTGCGAATTACAGATGCAAACAGAAATCCTTGTATTGCCGGGTGGTTTCAATTGTGACCTGTTTGGCCCCATTTAGAGTGAGTTTCCCTTTGGAAAATATACGGAGCCCTGGTGGTATGTCTTTGTGCAGGGGCTCTATTGTAGGGTGTTTAAAAGAGAAACGCATGCAGTTTTGTCCAGAACCAACTCGTGCTTGTGACAAAGAAGCACTCAGTGGGCTTCCGTGAGGTTCGGGTTTGTCTCCAAAAAGGTGAAACCCTGAAAAAGCCATTGCGGTTCCATTTCCTTTCCCTTTGAAACAAGTTCCAAAAGGCGTGCCATCTCAATGCCACAGACACGTTTGTTGATTTCTTCGTTGGGGTGACCAAAACCCGTTTTACCAGCAGCCAAGTTAGGAAGTCACTCATGACTCGCAGGCTTGGGGCCGTTAGAAAGCCCCTTTTCAGGGCCTGGTGGGTGAATTTTATGTGTAAGCCACCCACCAAAAAGGCGGTTCCCCTTAAAGTCGCCTACGAATTCCATACCGATGCAGAGCAGGGACCCAGAGGATCGTGATATGGCCGTTTGAAATGGCTCGCCTTGGATCGGCGTGTCCAAACGAGTTGGACTCCCCAAATGGCCGTCCTCCTTGTGATTTCCCTTTGCCATCTCAAGGGCGCCCTCGAAAACACGCGCGCGCGAGGTCTGCCAGCCGGCGATCCTTGGGGCTCGCCCAAGGCCGGTTTGGTTGCATGGTCTGCCCCAAGAGTTTTTCGGCGGCCCAAAGACTACAACAAATAGGGTCCTCAAAAATTGACCTTGCCATTTCCCCGAAATTTGGAGCAGACAGCTTCGAGATGCTGACTGAGAGGGTGCAGTGTGTCTTTCAAGTTGGCGCCGCCCTCGAATTATGTTGTGACAACTAAAGTGGCGCGCCAGAAGATCAGACTCCAACCGAAACGACCCCTGTCGTTTGGTCAATCTGCTTGGCCTATGGTTCACTCTCTCTAGTTTGGCTGTAGGGAGCGTATAGCAAAGTTGGGCCACGGAGAGGGTTTCATTTGCATGGGAGCCCGAAAATGGGCGCCAGGTTTTCCTGTGGTGTCTCATGAATAGTACTGGGGTACCATGGAGGACTTGCGGAGTTCATTGCCAGGCCAGATACCCTGCCAAGAATCTTGCCAGGTGAGACTCCCAACCGAAATGTCCCTGCACTCGTGAGAACTGCACTACTGTCTTCCTCCTCGTGAAACATCGGCTATAGAGGATGGCCGAACTTTTGAAGAAAGATTAACACTCTGGCGGAGAAGTGGAAGATGCTCACAAGAACCAAAGTGACCAGCGAAAAAATGTCTGGCTTGGGCGGTTTTCGGGTTTCGCCAACTCTCTCTCCTCTTCGTTTGGTGGGGGGCGCAGCATCGCCGAGTGGCGCGGGACCCGGCCACTCGGCCGATCTCCTTTCGCCAGGCGTCCAAGCTGGGGGCCCAGCTCGGATCGGGCTATGTGGCTCCCTGAAAGTCAGGGCCATTGCAGCGCCGCGGAGGTTGCTTCCTCTTTGGAACCCCAAAATATGCTGCTCACTCTTTGGAAGTTGCTTACTCTTTGGAGCCTAAGGATGTTTGTTCTTTGGAACCCTAAGAATTTGCGGCCAAATGCGAGGACGAAGCTATTGCAAAACCGCAGGAGCCCTTTTTGCGCATAAGTTTCTCGCTCTGTGGAGCCTTCTTTTGCGCGGCGAAATGAGTCGGCCGAATGGGAGACCAAGCTTCCTTTTCTGAGAGTCCCTGTTTTTGGCGTGGCAACATCCTAGATGAAGGGAAGCAGGGAAGAGTGTTGCAAGAAATGGTTGCACCTACGTGCTGGCTTGATTCTTCATATGGCCTGCGCCATTTGGGATATTAAGGTTGAAATGGTTCTTTGATGTAGGTTATTTGCTGAGTCCTTACGTCAATGGCATTCTTCATTCTATTTCTTCTTTTTGAGGTGTTTCTCTGTGGATCGATGGTAAGCGATAGGAAAGTGAAAGAAAAAGACAAGAAATTAACCCATCTTACCCCGCTTCTCGGGCTCTAGGACACATCTATATCTCACCCAAATGCTCTAACTCTTGGTGTCCCACCGCTTTATCTCTCTCTTCTTCATGTTGATAATTCTTATATTTTGGATTTTTATTAATGTTGGTGACTCCGGAAATAGAGGGAGGAGAGGAAATAGGATCTCTTATTCTCTTCTTTTCGTTACTTTCCTCTCTTGTCTATCCACTGTGTGTGTAATCCCAGTGACGAGAGGAACGGTCCAGAAAGGGAAATAGGGTCTCATATCCATCCTTCTTGATCACCAATTAAGACTGTGGAAGCCGGGAGGCGGGAGTAACAGGAAATGGATTGTGGACAAAGAGACAGATAACAGTCTGGAAGCATCTCCTCTGTGTCAATGCTATAATTCTATTTGTCTCTTCTCTCTATCATTTACTTTATGATTCACGACTTGAAGGAAGTGGATCACCTACAGATGGGGCCGCTCCTATATCCGCTACTTCCGGAAGGGACTTGAAGGAAGGAGATAATTGGCGGCCAACTCATGAATCTTCACCCATTTGCTGCATCAGGAATTACATGGACAAGACAGTGAACATAAGGTGAACGAAGGGTGAGGTTATAGGGTCTCCGAAGGTGTAGTAAAGAGAAATGCCTTCGTTCTTACCATCTCATTCCTCTTCCTCATTCCTAAGCCTCTCCCTGTCTCGTCTGTAGGCTGAGGTGATGAATGGAGATGAAGAACCCGGACGAAGGAAAGAGATGAATGGGAGAGGAGAAAGGAATGGCTCTCCCTCTCTTATCTCTTCGTCTCTCCAATTCACTCGCTTCTCGGTGAGCACTCATTCCTTTGCGAGCGTGAAGAGAGAGAGTGAAAGAGAGAAAGAAGAGGCTGGGAAGGGATTGGCTGTCACTAGAGAAATCATTTGGTGAAGACAGCCAAGTAATATCCCTTCCCTTAGTCTTTACCATCTACCACCTAAGGACTTGTCCTTCCCATCTTATCTCAGCTTATGAACCTTTCTGTAATAGCGGTTCATCTCTGAGATTGATGGTGTACGAAAGGAAAAGGAAATGTTAACCGCTATGGATTAAATCATACACGTACTGGGACTGGGACAACCCCCTAACAAGTGGTACGAAGTGGGGCCTTGTCCGAAGCACGTGAATTGTCCAGGTTCCTTTGGCTTCCAGTCGTTAAGGAAAGCTGAGGGCAATTTCGAGTTCCCCCATTTGGAGACAACCTGTTTGGAGGCAGACCCATCCCAAATCCAAAGCTCGTAAAGCATCTACCGAGACCGAACGCCTGCTCCTTTACCAACATGCGGAGTTCAAACATCAGGGTTCCCAAATATGTTCTGGTTTCCATGTTGCGTCCCTGCAAGACGACTCCGAAAAGATGCTGTCAACAAAAGACACGTTGTGCGCCAGCGCCCTGCGAAAGTTCCTCTGTCTCATGTTCGGTCCAACGCCCCAAGCGCCGTCCAAAAAAACAGCCGTTGAGGGCTGCCGGAAAAGCTTACTATGATCCCTTGGCAAAGAAATGGCAGCTTTCGCGAGTGTGCTGAGGCCAGCGTTTGCATGGGCAGCGTTTGAGTGAGGCGCGTGTGATTGGGCCCGACCCTGTAAGCATTGCTTAACCAGCCTGTTTCGCCGTCCCTTTGTTGCCTTTTGTTGACCGGAACAAGTTAACTTTCAGACTTGAAATCCAGGTCAGGTAAGCCAGTGATCGAGCAAAATTCACAGGGCCTTCCGTGGTGGGCTGTGCTGTCTTTGTCACAATCGCGGCCCTTCCGCAAGAGCGGTTTTAGAGCGGGCGCGGCTTCGCAAGGCTGCTGAGTGGAACGAACCCATGGCCGTGCCCCGCAAGAGCCCTTCTTTGGGCCTTCTTGCGGTTGTCCCCAAAGAAAAAGGCCTCACCGGGCCCTTCGTGCGACATAGGTCGAAGCAGTCTGAGGGGCATATTAATCAACCCTAATTTATTAATTGGGGGGTGTTCCCCTCCAATAGTGACACATCCCCACTAAAATCAGGGACACTCCCCATGG